TTCTAAACATACATTCGCTGGTGTTTGCATTCTCGAAACACAGTAGGTCTTACTGCTTTGCAGGCTTCTGTTTTTGTGCTTACAAGGATTTTACTGATTCCAGCAGCACATCCCTGGCCTGTGATTTAATGATTTGGCCTGCAGCTCTGACGAAGCGACTTCTTTCTCCACAAATAGAGACATGCGACATGGACAGACTGCATGATGCTGGTTTTGCAAATCACAGGCAGGGTCCTGTAAAATCTGATAAAATCTGCAAATCGACCATGATTGTCAGGCCCATCTGAATTGTCATCCAATGAACACAGCCTTTGCACATTAGCTGTGCACAATTGGCTTTCCAGCGTTTTACAGCAATGTTCGGCGTTTTCGGCCTGTCAGCATGGTCCTTAATTTGCGATAAAAACTGAAAGACCTGAAAGGATGTGTTGCCGGAGGGGTTGAGATTTGAAATGTACAGTACCAGTAATGCCCAGTAAGAAAATCAATATGCTAAAGACAGGTGAAATCGAGATCATCTGAAGAGTTTGCAGAATGCCTCTTTGAGTTTCACAAAGGAAAACCTGTTTTTAAGCTACAGAAGATAGTGTCTTGTGAGAAGTGAGAAATTCAAAGGATCAAAAGGTGGTATTATACAGTGTTGCAATGTGTTGCATAAGTTGCATACTCTAGTACTCTAGGGAGTCTACTGGTTGTAGGCAGACTGCTTGCGACACTGACAAGTCTTTGCAGTTACGGAGCATGCGAGAGTTGCCTGAGGCAGAGCCAGCAGAGCTCTGTGCAGACTCCTGCCATGTTTCACCACGTCCGCTAGCTCAGTATTTTTGGTTCAAGTTGTCGAAAAGAAAACACTTGAAATATGAAGGCACGTGTTAGGCACACATGTTTCAATAAAGATAGAGCAAGCATCAATAGGCCAGAGGAGATTCCGTAAGATATTGGGCTTGGTGTTCCCTTTGCAAATGCAACATGTCGCAAGATTTCTTCATTTGCTTCTTAAGGTTCCTCCAGTACTCCGTGCCTTTTGCGTCTTCTCATTGTCGCTGGTATTTTTTGTTTTTCGACCTGTGTCTCACTGACCTTTTCCTGCTTGCTGATTTCTTATTTGCTTTTTTTCATATCCTGTACGGTACCGGTTGCCCTTCTTTTTTTCACGCTGTATTTTGCAATTTTTTTCTGCTGCATATGCATATATTCGTTCTTTTTTTTTCTTCTCCTTGTTATTCCTCGTTTTGTCAGTCTTCTGCTTCGTGTCCTCTTTTTTTAAAATCTTCCTGGGTCCGGGTCCAGTTGTTTCTTTCTACTCTAAAGGCCTGCACAGCATATAAAAATAATCGGAAGAAGGCTTTTCAAAAGAAGAAACGACTACTTTTAGCTGTTATATTGTTATCTATATTATGTCTTCATCTTTAGATATATTATCGAAGGAACTTTAGAAGTCAAACTTCCGACAATATGGACAGATGGAAAAGCAGAGGTGGGAAGAGTCAGAGAAGAAAAGAGAAGAAGAGAGAAGATCAGAGCAGAGAGAGAGTGAGAAACATTGTGTTTTTCCAATGATTTGAATTTCCAAAAGTGCTCCGACCCTGGTGTGCTTTGTATATTTTGACTTCCAAAGGTGCTTCGCGCCACAACGGCGTGCACTTTTTCGACATCTCAGCTTCCAAAAGCGGTCCGAACATGAGGTGCCTTTGGCTTTTTGACTTCGAAATGTGCTTTGCGCCACAACGGCGTGCAATTTTTCATCTCTCATCTGGCCACATGGCTCTGCACCCCACCGCTTTGCGAGCACTTTTCGACCCTCCGGAGCCAGGGATGTCGAAAAAGTGCACGCCGTTGTGGCGCGAAGCACATTTGGAATTCAAAATGTACAAAGCACACCAGCTTCGAAGTTCGAAGCAGTTTTGGAAGTTGACAGATAGGCAGGTAGCCAGACAAATGGACGGATAGATAGATAGAAAAGCTCGACATTCCAACCACTTTTCGGTCCATCAGTGGATTCGCTCTGCCATCCGTGATTCACAACAACTCACCTCTCCTATAGGTTTCCTATTTTTGAAACTTCCGCCACCGTCTTGTGCGGCACTACTGGTCTTCACGCAATGCAAAGAATAGTACAAATAAAACATATTACATAATCTTATGTGATATTATTATAATAAGGTAATCCAATTTGATTCTCAGCAAAACCAGGAGGTTGGAATGTAATAGACTGTTTTGTCTCTGGCACAACAAAATATTGCGAACAATGCCCTGTTTGTTCATGTTTGTTCTTTTGTTCTTTGTTTGCCCTGGTCTCTACTAGCGCCCAGGTGGAGCTCTTCACGCTGTCGGTGTACAGGTGCAGTTCGCTGTCCTGTCATGGTTTTTTGTGCTGCAGTTCTGAGATGTTTTAAGTTCAATTTCGTTCACCGATCGTTGATCACATTAAACATGTAATTTTGCAGTCATGGTTAGGAAACTTAGAACCAGGAGTTGCTTATAACATGTCACACTATCACTGCGCACGCGTGATTCTGACAACGCCTCCACACTTTCAATTCGGAGTCTATTCTGAGCTGCAACTGCATCGTGTCTGTTAGGAACACGTACGCATACGTACGGTATTATTGGCTATTTGTTCCATTGGCCGGGCCAAGCAGTGCAAGGTTTCAAGGTTTCTCATTCTGTAGTTTTACAAAGCAAAATCTATGCGGCGAGAGTAGGCACTTGTACGGAATCCATGCTGTGATTTTGGAGAGGCGCCATTTTGATAACTTCCTCGTTGGGCAAAACACATACAAGGAATCTACAATTCAAACAAGTCAAATCAGTGTACATCAATGTAAATCAAGAATATATTTTTGAAAAGAAACTAATTCTAAATGATATACACATCATATAATCATAATCGTATTATTAAAATTGAGTAGCGAATTCTCATTTGATATGCGGTCAAAATAAGCGTAGACTAGACTACTTTAGTCTGGGAGGGTCCAGTTGTGCTGAGAAAGTGCACCAAACCATGTAAAGCAATAGGCCCCCAAAAAAAACGATAACTTGTAACCATATGAGAGTGCACTAAACTTGGTGTAAAGATCCTCCTTGTAATTTCCTCTACAAAATCGCAACAGTTAAGCTTGGGAACATGGTGCGTTTTAGGACCCTCCTTTGTTTAGGGGTACCTACCCAGTGTCAACATTTGCAATTTTTTAGAGGACCTTGGTTAATAATTACCAGGACCAGAAACGCCTCCTGAGGGAGGCCATTGTGTGTGTAACCCGCTATAGCATGCGGTTTTTCTCATGTACAGATAGCAGGGGGGCAATCTCATGTCTGCAGCTGATTGCCCAACGAAGAGGGCTGCATTCATGACCGATATGACTCTGGGACGCTGGAGTCACGTACCTGCTTGTGTTAAACTGTTGTACAAAATGTCAGTCTCAGGCTGTTTAGGTCAACCGAAGGTTTCAAAAGATACCAGCACAACTCTGATTTCATCACTTGAGGCTCCGCTGCCTTAGGCTTCGAATTCTTAGGACTCCTCAAGGCGACCAGAAGCACATCATTTTTTAATTTCTCATCAGATCTATAACCAGTGTGTTTTCCCTCTTCACTGGGTCGTTGCTTCTTATCTGCTCTGGCAAATTCAAACACTTGTCGACCCCGGCTAATTCTGCAACGAATTCAAGCGAATTCAGGGAAGGCAGCTGCCTCGGCCTCACAGTGAAAGGGCAGCCCAAGTCAGCTCATAGAACAGAGGTAGATAGCAGATTGATCCAGATTGGGCGTGTTTGCAACAGTGATGCAACAAACTTTGCAGGTTTGGGCGCCACCTTTTAAATTCTCAGCTTAGAATTGTATGCCTCTTTTGGGTAGGAAACAAATAATCAAGGAGTCAAGGAGCTATTCATCTATTAAATGAAGACATGGGACAGGACATACCCCTAAGTTGATCCTCTATAAAATGCCGATGCTTTGACTCTATAAAATGCTGTTCCGGGACCCATTTTATAGAGGACTGGCTTGGCCGTCTATAAAATGCCCCTCCAGAGCTCCCTATTTTATCATTTTATAGAGAGCTTCCCTCCCAGCATGAAAGATGATAGAGAGGTACAAGACGTTGCAGATAGATTATGCATTTTATAGGAGGGATTCTTTGCAAAATGTTACCGTCAAAAAATAAGTACCACAAATGGCTTTGTTGGTAGTTTTTTTTGGGAAAACATTCATATAAATGCATACATTTATATATACATGCTTAACAGATAGATAGATAGATCTGCACAAATTTTAACATTTCACTATGGTACAAAAGCAATTTTTTCTTGTTTACAAACCATAAAAGTGACATTTTTCATTTTGCATCATTTTCCCCACTGATTTTCTCCCGTTGTGTCTCCCCTTTCCTGCTCCCCGTTGTGTCTCCACACTTCCGGCTGAAACCTCGGCTCGCTGGCGTTTGTCGAGTCGGGGTTCCGCCTACGCGCGCGCGCGTTTTACGCGCGCGCGCGTTGGTGGAAAGGTGGAAAGACTGGGTTGTTGCCCGATGTCGCGCTGCGTGTTTTTGCACACGCGTCGTCTGCGGAGAAGCATTTCATAGAGATGACGGAGAGGTCATTTCATAGAGGGTTCCCACTTGCTGTCTATATGCTGGCTGACGGAGGACCATTTTATAGCCAATTTTCTCTATAAAATGCTTCGTAAAGCATCCTAGGGAACAAGTAAGGGGTATGACAGGACTAGTTTGTGACAAAGGCGGGTTCTTGCAAAAAGCACCCCAACGGAAAGAAAGCTGCTTCAGCAACAACTTACAGTCTATACAATCCTCACGCATGACTCACGGCGCACGCAGCAGGGCAAATGACAGGCCTCATGTTTGCAGCAATGTGCTATTTGCAATTCATTCGTGCTGGCTTTTATATAGACGCATAGAATAGCTCAGGCATGCCTAGACAAGCATAAAAATGATTCGATCTACGTTGCAACACCGCAACAAATTCAAGTGTACACCTTATGGTACGCTATGGTGCCACGGAGCGTTTGGCCTCCGTGAAGCTGCAGCACATGGCAGCCGCAGGTGCTGAAAACTGCTGACGCGTTCGATTTACAGTGTATATACAGATACAGTAGTATTTCCGGTGGTATTTACATGTAACGACCGATACTCATAGTGGATTCATATCCTTCTGCTGTAATGAAGTACTGGTAGCTTACTGGGATGTAATGGGCCTTGTCGTTGTGAGTTGTGAGCGCTTTGTCAGGGTTTACCCTGGGGGTACATGCGGGCTCTTCAAATTTAAATTAAAGGTGCTCTATGACCGAAGGTTCAACTGTACTTGTTTGTGAAAGCTGCCAATTGAATGACGTGCTGTGCGGCTGTGCCAAAAAGCTTGAGATTCCCTGCAGGTGAATGACAGATAAGGGTTTCGTTCAAAAAACCTTGTCGTGCTCTCCACGAACAGACTACTATCAAGGTGGCTTGCCTGCAAAAACAGACACGAGTTTGATCCAACGAATCCAATGGAAGCATGTCATAGACTTTGCATATTTTTGCAAGAAATTAATTGTTTCTCTTCGGACAAATTGAGCCCTACCAGTAGGTTCGAAGTTTTTCTCCATACTGGCTGTTGCCATCCGTCGCCGGCTCTTGCCATTTGTGATGTGCCGAATGCATTTCACGTGAGATGCCGTGCTTTCACGTGAGAAATGCATTTCCTAAAGTTTCGCATGTCGGTTCCAGACAATTGCTCTGAAAGTTCCGAATGGATCAAGCCGCCCAAAATGATGGAAGCAGTCGGTGTGTGCTGCTGTATAATTACAGGTTGATACCGATTGCATACTTTGGAAAGGAGCAGGTTTCAAGATCAAAAGAAGATCACAAATGCTCACAACTCAACAACATGAGTCAAAAACATTCATCAAGGTGTCCTGTGGTTCTCATGCTGCGGTCCATTCAATTGATGTCTCGAGTTTTGAGGATGCTGGATGAAAATTAGAAAATCACATCAAGAAGTTCCGCGAACTTCGCGCCAAGACATTCTTCACCCTCCGCGGCTGCCGTTAGAAGCACAATAGCCAAGGTACTGAGGAGACTTTGCAGCGTGAGACTATGTTTTCAGAGTCAAACCGAGTTGGGCTCTTATTGCATCTTATTGCAGCATGTTGCCAGATGTTGGCAGATGTCGGCTGATGTGGGTACTTGAGATCAGCGCGTTCCCGCAGTCAGGTGATCTTGGATGTTCAAGGCTAAAGTTCTGAAACGGACGAAGTGAAGGCAGTGAAGGCAGTGAAGGCTTCAACAACAGATCAGCACCAGGTACCGACCCAGTACAGCATGGTTCTGACATGTGCTGAGCTGCGCACACTCTGAGGTTTCGGATGTGTTCAGAAGCTTGTTGCCGTGGTTTCTCGCACTCTTGCTGGGTGTCCTAACTGCCATTACAGGCTCCCGAGTGACAGGGCACAAACCCCAACACTTTACATGGACCCATGAGTTTTGCAAGGGTATCTCAGATCTTTTCTGCGATTTTCAGCCTCTACTGACTAGACTGCACCATTCATATCCAGGTATCACAGTATAGTTCAACATAGTTCAACTTCCTAATTGAGCCTTCAAGTGCATGTTCATACATTTTCTGTGGTTGATCATGCATTGCATGGTGTTTGCTTTTTTGCTTCTTACTCCTTTGTTGCTTCTTTTTCACATCCTTTAGCAATCCACTGATTCCACAGGATGTGCAATATCTTTGTTCTCTGACTTCCTCGGAGACACACGCTTTGGATTTTGCTATGGCATTTTTTTGGCCGATCGCAACCGATGCTGTGGGGGATCTGAAAATGTCGACTTCCTCTTGGAGACGTGCCTCAGAGCCGAAAGAATTGGATCGGTGCCAGTCAAAGATTTGCAACTTTCAGTCGGGGATCCCCCACGTATAGCTCACTATAAAGTGGACATCCTTTGCGCTTATAAAGTGGGTTTCCGGTCGCCACTTTATATACCGACAATGGGGGATAAAGCCGTGTTTTGCGCAAGAAACATGCCCTTGGACCTGGAAGATGACTTTATACAATCACAGGGCCCACGACCCCCCAGCAAAACCCCCCCCAGAAGTATGGTAAGGTATGGATAAGGATGAAACTGTTGATAAGGGCCAATCAGTGGTGTAACACATTCTTAATAAATGCTTATTAGCGATTTGTGGTTAAGGGCTGAATAAGGTCTTGATAAGAGATGGCTTTTCCCAAGAAAAATGAAATTTCACTATTAGAGCCTTATTAAGAAAAATCTTGTTTTGGGGGGTGTTGTCCAACCAACAAGACAAAAAACGGTATTAAACCTTTAACAAGAATAACGCATTCCAAAACCAATTTTAGCACCAATAAATCACACAACCTTAATAACAGTTTATTAGGGAACTCTGATTTCTGACACTTGCTCATGTGCGTTTTTTCTGGCGACACAACCTTACAAAGATAGAAAGAAAAATGAATAGCATTGTGACACGGCTTACAGGCAACTTCTATAAAACGATAGAAAAATAAAATGGACCAAAAAAAAAAACAAACCTCAATTTGAAAAAAAAGCAAGGAAAAACACAAAACCCAATCCACACCTAAAGTTGAAAAAAACAAAAAACAAAAAAAAGCAAATTTAAAAAAAAAAACAGAAAAAAATGAGCAAAAGAAAAAAAAACAAAAGAAAAAAAACACAAAAAAAAATGAAAACAAATGAAAAAAAAATGGGAAAAATAAGAACAAAAAAATAAAATAAATCTCATTCCAATACCTTGATCCACCCCTTATCAAGCCCTTATCAAGCCCTTGTCAAGCCCTTATTCAAACCTTCTCGAGATCTAATTTCTCAACATATTTTGACAAAAATATGTTGAAAAAAAATCGTCTAAATTTCATTCCAATACCTTGAAAATGAACCACTGAATGTTTTAAAACTGATTGTGGACATATTTTTTTGATAATTACAAATAAAGTTTTTAAAAATATCAAAGTATTCAGCAAATATGCATAATTTTAACATTTCAATACGTTAAAAAAGTCGCTTTTTCTAGTTTACCAACTATAAAACTGAGTTTTCTCATTTTGCATCATTTTCCCGTTGTGTCTCCTCGTTGTGTCTCCCCGCTGTGTCTTCCCCTGGACGCGAGCAGTTCCTGACGCCTTAAACGCGCGCGCGCGCGTTAGCGGAAAACGACCGTACCACAGCTTCACTGCTCCGAACGATGTCTTGGGCCTCAGTGCGAACACCACTGATCAGAACAGCCACCATTGAGGCCACCAGGCTCGTTATTTTTGTTTTTTTGTTTTTTTGTTTGTTTTTCTTGTTTTTTTTTGTTTTTTGTTTGTTTTTTCTTTTGTGTTTATCTTTTTTTTGTGCGTGTTCGCTTTGTTTTGTTTTTCTTTTTTTGTTTGTGTTTTTTTGTTTTTTCTAATTTAGGTTTGGTTTGGGTTTTCTTTTTTTTTTGCATTTTTTTTGCTTTATTCACATTTAGGCCTGGGTTGGGTTTTGTTTTTATTGTTTTTTTGGTTGTGTTTGCTTTGTTTTGTTTTTTTGTTTTTTCAGATTTAGGCCTGGATTGGGTTTTGTTCTCAAACACCTTTTTTGACGCCATAATTGCCTTCACACCAAATAAGGTCTTATTAAGGAAAACATGTTTTTAAGGCCGAAAAAAACAAACTTCCTTATTAAGCATCTATTGCGCTTCCGGGGGGGTTTGGCCTGGGGGGCTGTGCACCCTGTGATACAACGTTGGCTTTCCAGTTTATACCCGGCTGGTTTCCCACAAGGAAACGATTCAATATATGCGGCAATGCATTTTATAGACCGTTGGTTCCCTTCAAAGAATGGCCATAATATGTCACATCATCCACTTTATAGAAACCAATCTCCCCAATGATTTCGGGCCAATATTTTTCTGTCGGGGCTATATACATGGCAAAGCACTTTATAGAGTGAAACTTGCCCTTTAAGAAGGGAATTTGTGCTGCAGCCAGGGCACTTTAGAGAAAGAAAATTGTGGCAGAGCATTTTACAGAATCATGAGATGCATCATCCAAGTCACTTTATAGAGCTGAACTTTCTAGCAAACCATTTTATAGCGGATGGACATGGACCGGTCCAGTTTATACAGTGGGTGGGGCAGCCAGAAATGACGTGACCAAGCCATTTTATACAGCTGAACTTTCTAGCAAGCCATTTTATAAAGGACGGATGGACAGTAGAGTGTGAATTCCTTACTGAGTGACAGTCTGCCATGCCCAGCATTGGCATTGCTTCACGATGTGCTTGCTACAAGCTTGTCCTCGATCGACTCACTAAAGCCTCGGCACCCAGAATTTTGGCAAAAGGATCGACTTGGCGTGTGCTTGGATTTCACGTACTTGTTGGCCATGCGCACGTCGATGGTCCTACATCAAAGGCGTGGAATGGACCTTTCTGTCTAGAGGACTGTGATCAGGAGTTCCCAGTTTGCTTTCACGACATCAACGAGCCGGAGAGTTGGAGACAGGAGTCCCGAAAAGCAAATCGCATGTTTCTTGCAGACATTATTGATACCTCCAAAAATTTTCAGGGGTTTTACCTGGACAGGCCGGGGTATAAAGTGGCCAGTCCAACATAGATTGTGTTTTTTCAGGGGTTTTACCTGGACTGGCCACTTTATAGAGGCATTCTTTGTTGGGGGAAGGGGTATAAAGTGGCCAGTCCAACAAAGATTGTGTTTCTTTCAATGGTTTTACCTGGACTGTCCACTTTATAGAGGCGTTCTTTGTTGGGGGGAAATCAAAGTGGTCCAACCATGTTTTCTTTTTCTTACTAAGGCAATGTTTTAGATTCTAGATTTTGTGAGATGTTTTTGGTTGTAATGTTTTGTAGAGAAATTGGCTGAACCAGATTATTTCATTTGATTTCATGTGGCTTCAATTGGTTTCAGAAATAGTTGACATTTATGTTCATACATGTTTTATCGTTTTCTGTTGTACTTGAAAATTTGGAATTTATATCGGTATTTCATGCCATTTCAAGCTTTAAGAGGATTTTAATCTGTTTCTACTCAAACCTTCTTCAAACCGTTTACCAGACACACCAATACCTTATATGAAGTTCTTGGCACTTTTTCTTGACCATCTAAAAGTCTAAACATTTTAAAAGCATCTGACAAATCATTCTCAAAACGTGTACAAAAATACATCTAAAGCATATTCAATACACCAATCATCACCCATCTACAACACATTGAAAACTATAAACGTGACATGTCTCATTTTCTCGTTGTGGCCTTCCCGTTGGACCTCTCCGTTGTAGCCTTCTCCGTCTACCTCGTTGTAGGTCCTCGAGCCGACTGGCCGGGGTATAAAGCGGCCAGTCCAACATAGATTGTATTTTTTCAGTGGTTTTACTTGGATTGTCCACTTTATAGAGGCATTCTTTGTTGGGGGAGTGGTATAAAGTTGCCAGTCCAACATAGATTGTGTTTTTTCAGTGGTTTTGCCTGGACTGGCCACTTTATAGAGGCAAAGTGGCCAGTCCAACATGGATTGTGCTTTTTTCAAGGGCTTTACCTGGACTTTCCACTTTACAGAGGCATTCTTTGTTGGGGGAGGGGGTATAAAGTTGCCAGTCCAACATAGATTGTGTTTCTTTCAGGGGTTTTACCTGGACTGTCCACTATATAGAGGCATTCTTTGTTGGGGGAGTGGTATAAAGCGGCCAGTCCAACATAGATTGTGTTTCTTTCAGTGGTTTTACCTGGACTGGCCACTTTGTAGAGGCATTCTTTGTTGGGGGAGGGGGTATAAAGTGGCCAGTCCAACGTAGAATGTGTTTTTTCAGTGGTTTTACCTGGACAGTCCACTTTATAGAGGCAGTCTTTGTTGGGGGAAGGGTATAAAGTGGGCAGTCCAACATAGGTTGTATTTTTTCACTTGTTTTACCTGGATTGCCCACTGCCCATTTTATAGGGGCATTCTTTGTTGGGGGAGGGGTATAAAGCGGCCAGTCCAACATAGATTGTGTTTTTTCAGGGGTTTTACCTGGACAGTCCACTTTATAGAGGCATTCTTTGTTGGGGGAGGGGGTATAGAGTTGCCAGTCCAACATAGATTGCGATTTTTCGGGGGTTTTACCTGGACTGTCCACTATATAGAGGCATTCTTTGTTGGGGGAGTGGTACAAAGCGGCCAGTCCAACATAGATTGTGTTTCTTTCAGTGGTTTTACCTGGACTGTCCACTTTATAGAGGCATTCTTTGTTGGGGAAAGGGGTATAAAGTAGCCAGTCCAACATAGATTGTGTTTTTCACTGGTTTTACCTGGACTGTCCACTTTATAGAGGCAGTCTTTGTTGGGAGAGGGGTATAAAGTGGAGTCCAACATAGGTTGTCTTTTTTCACGTTTTTTACCTGGATTGCCCACTGCCCACTTTATAGAGGCATTCTTTGTTGGGGAAAGGGGTATAAAGTGGCCAGTCCAACATAGATTGTGTTTTTTCAGTGGTTTTACCTGGGCTGGCCGCTTTATAGAGGCATTCTTTGCGGGGGGAGGGGGTATAAAGTGGCCAGTCCAACATAGATTGTGTTTTTTCAGGGGTGTTACTTGGACTGTCCACTTTATAGAGGCATTCTTTGTTGTGGGAGGGGGTATCAAGCGGCCAGTCCAACATAGATTTTTTTTCAGGGGTTTTACCTGGACAGTCCACTATATAGAGGCAGTCTTTGTTTGGGGGGGGGTAAGAAGTGGCTAGTCACCTAGTCCAACACAGATTGTGTTTTTCCGTGGCTTTACCTGGACTGTCCACTGTATAGAGGCATTCAGTCCAGGTAAAACACCTGAAAGAAACACATTCTATGTAGGACTGGCCACTTTATACCCCCTCCCCCAACAAAGAATGCCTTTATAAAGTGGACAGTCCAGGTAAAACCCCTGAAAGAAACACAATCTATGTTGGACTGGCCACTTTATACCCCCTCCCCAACAAAGAACGCCTCTATAAAGTGGCCAGTCCAATTAAGACCCCGGAAGAAACACCATCTATGTTGGACTGGCCACTTTATACCCCTTTCCCCAACAAAGAATGCCTCTATAAAGTGGACAGTCCCGGTAAGACCATTGAAAGAAACACAATCTATGTTGGACTGGCCACTTTATACCCCTCCCCAACAAAGAACGCCTCTATAAAGTGGCCAGTCCAGCTAAAACCCCGGAAAAAACACCATCGATGTTGGACTGGCCACTTTATACCCCTTTCCCCAACAGAGAATGCCTCTATAAAGTGGACAGTCCAGGTAAGACCATTGAAAGAAACACAATCTATCTTGGACTGGCAACTTTATACCCCCTCCCCCAACAAAGAATGCCTCTATAAAGTGGACAGTCCACGTAAAACCCCTGAAAGAAACACAATCTATGTTGGACTGGCAACTTTATACCCCCTCCCCCAGCAAAGAATGCCTCTATAAAGTGGACTGCCCAGGTAAAACCACTGAAAAAACACATTCTATGTTGGACTGGCCACTTTATACCCCCTCCCCCAACAAAGAATGCCTCTATAAAGTGGACAGTCCAGGTAAAACCACTGAAGAAACACAATCTATGTTGGACTGGCCACTTTATTTATACCCCCTCCCATAACAGAGAATGCCTCTATAAAGTGGACAGTCCAGGTAAAACCCAGAAAAAACACAATCTATGTTGGACTCGCCGCTTTATACCCCTTCCCCCAAGAAAGAATGCCTCTATAAGATGTTCTGTCCAGGTAAAACTGGTAAAACCCCCGAAAAAACGCAATCTATGTTGGACTGGCCACTTTATACCCCCTCCCCAACAAAGAACGCCTCTATAAAGTGGCCAGTCCAGGTAAAACCCCGGAAGAAACACCATCTATGTTGGACTGGCCACTTTATACCCCTTTCCCCAACAGAGAATGCCTCTATAAAGTGGACAGCCCAGGTAAAACCATTGAAAAAACACAATCTATGTTGGACTGGCCACTTTATACCCCGGCCAGTCGGCTGGAGGACTTCTCCCCGGAAACGGGAGGACCTACAACGAGGTAGACGACGAAGAGGTCCAACGGGAAGGTCACAACGAGAAAATGAGACATGTCACGCTTATAGTTTTCAATGTGTTGTAGATGGGTGATGATTGGTGTATTGAATATGTTTTAGATGTATTTTTGAACACGTTTTGAGAATGATTTGTCAGATGCTTTTAAAATGTTTAGACTTTTAGATGGTCAAGAAAAAGTGCCAAGAACTTCATATAAGGTATTGGTGTGCCAGGTAACCGTTTTGAAGAAGGTTTGAGTAGAAAAAGATTAAAATCTTTGTTTAAACTTGAAATGTTTTGAAATACCAATATAAATTCCAAATTTTCAAATACCACAGAAAACGATAAAACATGTATGAACATAAAGGTCAACTATTTCCGAAACCAATTGAAGCCACATGAAATCAAATAAAATCATCTGGTTCAGCCAATTTCTCTACAAAACATTACAACCAAAAACATCTCACAAAATCTAAAACATGGCCTTGGTAAGAAAAGGACAACATGGTTGGACCATTTTAATTCCCCCGCAACAAAGAATGCCTCTATATAGTGGACTGTCCAGGTAAAACCCTGAAAAAAGACAATCTATGTTGGACTGGCCGCTTGATACCCCCTCCCACAACAAAGAATGCCTCTTTAAAGTGGACAGTCCAAGTAAAACCACTGAAAAAACACAATCTATGTTGGACTGGCCACTTTATACCCCCTCCCTCAACAAAGGATGTAGAGTACGGGGTGCCAAGTGTAAAGTGCCAAGTCTAAAGTGTGGAGTGTGGAGTGTAAAATGTAGAGTGTAGACTGGTAAAGTGTGAAATGTACAGTGTAGAGTGCAGAGTGTGGAGTGCATTTTTATAAAGATTTAAGTGCAACGTGCAGTGAGTGGAGTGTAAAACGCAGAGTGTGGAGTGTAAAGCGTAGAGTGCGGAGTGCACAGTGTAAAGGGTAGAATGCGGAGTGGGAAGTGTGAGTGTAGAATGTAGAGTGTAGAGTGTGGAGTGTCAAGTGTAAAGTGCGACGGGTGAAGTGTAGAGTGTGGAGTGTAAAGTGTAGAGTGCGGAGTTGAAAATGTGGAGTGTAAAGTGTTGAGTGTGGAGTGTAAAGCGCAGAGTGTAATGCGGAGTGTCAAGTGTGGATTTGGGATGTGGGGTGTCAACTGCGCAGCATAAAGCGTGAAGAATGTGGAGTGAATAGCGGAAAGTGTGGAAGGTATGAGTGGGGAGGGCCGAGTCGAGAGTGGCAAGGGCAACATCACCAAGTACTGTGCCTGCCACGCAAAATGGCCGGAAAGACGAAGGCAACATCGCACGTCGCGCAGCGGAAAGCGGCAAATGCAATCACAAAAGTGTCCCAAATACTGCGCCTGCCACGTAAAATGACATGCGACACACGACGGATCTCCACCAGATGCTGCGCCTGCAAAAGGACACTCTCACGATGTCCCACGCCTGCCACGCGATTTGCAGGTTGTCACCACTTGTCTTGACGCAGCCCTGACAATGCGAGTAGCAAAAACGCGCAACACGACACGTCTAACGTGCTGCGCCTGCAGCGCAAAATGCACATGGACATGTCCCAAGTTCTGCGCTTGCCAAGAAAAACGCACTTCGTTTCTGAAAACCACGCCACAGTGTGTTTGTCACGCAAAACGACTTTCGGCATTTTTTTGCACACGCCATCACGAAAGTCGCGCCACGCAAAACGACAGGACAACCTCTGTTGAAACCCTCAAAAATGAGAGGTTTCGCGGCTTCTCCCATAGGCACAGCGACGCCACAAGAAAACCAGAGAACCGAGACGAGACCTGCAGGAGCCTCAAAATGAGCATGTCGCGCAAGACGTCCTCAAATGTTCCGACGAGTTGTCCTACTGAACCCCAAAATCTAGCCGCCACCTCAAATTCGATGTTTCGTGCGAGGCATCCGTCAATTTTCATAACATGTCACAAAATGCCATGCCTGCCACGGAACTTGCACGTTGTCATCACTTGAGGCAGCCCGGACAATGCGATTCGAAAAAAAATCACGCAACACGACACGTCAAGTGCTGCGCCTGCCACGTAAAAGGCACATGACATTCCAAAGTGCTGCGCCTGCCACGAAATATGCAACTCATTTTCAGAAAACCTCGCAAAAGCATTGTGCCTGTCACACAGAACGATTTTCGACACGTTATGAAACATGTTGTCATGTCGCAAAGTGCCACGGCCGCCACACGAAACGACGTTACACGACATTTGAAACCTCGAAAAGTGACATCTTTTAATTTTGCAGCGCTCCCCCAGAAGCACGGCCATAAGCGTCCTCATCACGAACCGTTGCGGACGGTTGCGCACGGTTGCGAACGGAACGGCTGCGAACGGCTGCGAACGTGAAAGCAGCGTCGAGCGAACACGTCTCAACCCCCTACGGTAAAACGAGAACCCTTCGCTACGCATGCGGGAATCAAAACCAAACTGTAGCCACCTTTGGGGGCTTCAGTGCTGATTTGCAGGAAAGATTTCAAAACCAATTTGTAGTGACTGTGTGGACTCATGGGTGGTAAGTGCTGATTGGCAAGAAAATTCCAAAGAAAATTTCAAAGCCAGTCTGAAATCGTTTTGGGTGTTCATGGGTGCTGATTTGCAAATCCGAAAATCTTTTAAAAATATGGTTTTGGACCATATCTTTGGATAGGGCCACAGATAAGGGTTGGGGTTTACAAAATAGTTTTGGTGATTTGCTGAACCTGAGGAAAGATCTACAAAATGAATTTGATCTTTTGGGTAAAATGTCAATCCGTAGTCTCACATGATTTGCGCTTACAACCCTCATTTTAACAAAATGAAAACTTGAGGGAACTCTGCAAAAATTGTCTTTAAAGTAATTGCTACAAATTATATAATTTTTGTTTGTCTTGAAAACGCCTTCCAAAACCTTTTTTTGTAAGGAGCCACCAACCATTCTGTGGTGGGGGGTGGGTCCCTCTACATTTTGGTTCCCACCCACCTACCCCCCCATTTTCAAGAGGGATCTCCACGGTCTGAAATGATTTGAAGCCGGCTATATAGAGCGAAATTCCAGAACAAAGACACTGCAATGAGAGTGATAATGATATTACATGTAAAAAGACTGCAACGACATGGCAATGACGTTTTGACATTGTCGTGACGGTTGCCAAATCGCACCAAATTGGTCCAACTTGTAGTACCAAATCTTGCCAAATACAAATTGCATCCAGATCCTTAGCCCAGGTGCAAAAAGCCTGCGCTTCTTTGATCGCAGATTCAGACGACACAGCAACGAAAGTCACAAGAGTCATGAAAGTGACAGAAGTCTATGTCTATTGTGGTTTGCGCCAGGGTTTTGCAAAGTTTGTTGCGCGCGAGAGGAATATTATCAAAAAGCAAAGGAGATCAAAGGCAAAAGTGTGTTTTCTTGGGGAACACCTTGAGATAGAGGGGTGCTGAGAATCTCATTCTGGACAATGTGCATTCAAAAAGAATGTTTACTGGTTCACATAGAATATTGCAATTCAGCGATTCTTGCGCACCCTAAAGGAAAGCATGAGAAACATTGAGAAACAATTTTCGGAGCTTGCCTGTGGCTTGCGCACTCTTATTCCACCACATTCATGTCAGGATTGGAGACGATGGAATCCAATGGATTCCATGGGCGCACTTGCTTGAATTCCATGGAGGAAAGAGCAATGGACTGTTTCTTTCTTGGCATCTTGGCAGAATTTCCCTTTCGCATCCTTTCGCATGTTTGGCTCTAATCGTTATTGTCACCAGTCTGCTTGTTGCATGTCCTGCTTTGTTGATCTATGCAGGGTCCGCTGCGCCTTTTTGTGGTGGATGTTTGTCAAGATTTTGTATTGCTCAGGGGACACGCTGGTTATGCAGGTTTCAGTACACGTTCGCCTCTGTGATGTTCACTGGATTGGCAGCATATTTGGTCTATGAATACGCACCCACAGCGCGAGGGAGCGGCATTCCAGAGGCGGATCTTGGATTTAGCCCGGTACTTTGAAAAGCAGCCAGACCGATGGCTTCGCAAACCGCCCAGGTGTTTGCAAGTGTGATTCACGATGCATAGGATACAATTTCCGCTCCATCGACACTGAATTGAGCTGCAGCCAAAATTCGGGTTAATGGAGAGTAGTATACGAGTGGATTCTTTTTTTGGGGAAATTGAGTTGAGGCTTGGAAAACGATTATACATTCACCAAAAAACGATAACATTTGCTCATGTTCAAAAATATATTTCCATGTCAGGCAGGTGATTTGGTGCTTTGTGTGGGCATTCACCATTTGTTCGAGAGAGAAGCAAGAACCCAAATCTCAATTGTTGGTTTTAACTTTTAACGCTTGCTATTGCGAACGCACCATGCATCTTGGCGACTTACATTCCTCTCTTCCTCCATCTCTTTTGATTTGTGCTTCCTAATCTGTGCTAGGGAGTGATACGTTGATTGAGGCTTAATGAGCTGCCATAATGTATGCTCGCTTTTCGCGCTTTTGCTCGGCAGCCTTTGCCCAAGACAGTATTGTCTGTGTGTGTGTATTATCGAAGGGGCAGCATGGACAGATGAAAAGCAGAGATGGGAAGAGTCAGAGAAGAGAAGAGAAGAGAAGAAAGAAGATCAAAAAAGAGAAAGTCTCAGAAGAAAGAAGATCCAGGTGCGTGAAAAGGTAGAAAAATCGCGACACACTGTGTTTTTCCAATGGTTTGTGGCTCCGGAGGCCCACTGAGTTCAAAACTGATCTAGATTCATTGAGATCAATGAGTTACTTCGAAATTTATCAATAGTTCTAGAGGTCATAGAGGAAGGTGGATGACAAAGGGTTGATACCTGCCATGTGTCAATACCATCGCGTCCTTTCTTAAAACAGATCCCTTCAAGAAGGAGTGCCAGTGCCAAAATATTGACCAAATGGATGCAAAACATCACTCAGAAAACGGTAGGCAATACCCTATTTTGCAGTTCCTCTTGTTTTGGCATTTGTACATGATGCCAGATTTGGTGTGAGCACGTACCACATAGAATTTAGGTTTTGAAAGTGGTCAGATATGCCAGACTGATCAGAAGTCAAGCAGCACTCCACAAATCACACAAAATTTTGCAGGTGAAGGCAGCTGTTTCTGGACACTTGGCCTGTAGGCGCTTAGCGCCAATAAGCATGGTTTTTGTATTGCTTTGTATTGTTTCTAGGGATGGGAAGCCAGCACAGAGTACCACCGCTCCCCACTAAGGTCTTTTTAAGTTTTCACAATCGTTGAGAGCCCTTCGACTGTTGCAGCGTTGGCTCAAGCCATTCAATTGGCTCAAGGGCCAATCAAACGACTGGCTGAAGTACACCGAGCCCAACTTGGAGTGAAAAGGTGCACTGGCATCTGACTCTTGGTGGGGTTCGGTAGTGTGAAGCCCGTGGGTTGTGAGCCCAACCCCAACGCTGCCCTGAGCGATGTCGAGCAGCGACTTCACTCAGCGTCGTCGACACGATCATCCGGCGGCTGCTCGTCATGCTGAAGATGAACAACATGGGGCCCATGCGCAAGATGAACGCGCTGAAATGGCAGACCAAATGCTGGGAAAGTCAGGGACAAGATCACCAGGCTCAACCCGAAGATCATCGACAGAAAGGGAGGTTGGAGAAAGTGTGATGGCGCTGACCTGTGCTGGGGGGAGTGGAGCCCTAGTGCAGGTCGCGGCGGTCCGGGCTGGAGCGGGCGAACGAAGAGCCCAGAATCCGGCTGTTGTGGAAGAAGTCGCGCGATCAGTGTCCTTACCACCCGAAGAACCTCCTGGACTTGAAGTCGTACGAGGAAAGGGGAATGGTGGTTTGTTGTCTGGGTTGACCCCGGGTGTGAGTAGTCTGACTTTTTCGGGAGTGCCGATGGCACAGACACCAGTAGTTGCCCGGATGCCTGAAGGATCTCGTGAACCACCGGTGGTGGGTAATCGAGAAGAAGGACAGGGTGGAAAACACCAAAGCTCAACTGAAGTGGGTGGAGGTGCGGGTGCTGTTGTGGAAACTGTTGCTCTTTTGGAGCGACCGGGACGTTCACCTGTTGAGTCTCCTGAACATGCACGTGTAAAACAACTGGTACGCCAGCGGCTCCAACTGGTCCACCCGTGGATTACCAGCTAGCGGGAGGATGTGTGGTGTATACCGCAACTGGTGGGACAAGGTTCTCAAGTGGCTGGGATGTCCCAGCAATCAATGTGTGCTGGTGTGCCGCCTATGGGAATGGCACCCCAGTGTGGGACTGCAGTTGTGGATCCCGGGATGGTAACTGGGGTTATGGTTGCAGAAGAAACGAATCCATGGAGTGCTGCAAAGCGAGTGGAAGCTCTAATGAGCCGCCCACAAACTCCAGTGAAAGAGCTAACTTATCCCACAGCGTCGCAAGACCTGATTGATCAGGCGGATGCAAGGGGTAGGGAAAAGTATGAAGAGTTGAAAAAACAGATGATGAAGGTCTTTCAGCGTGGCAAGACCGAGATCCAACAAGATAGGGAAAATTGATGAAAATTGGTTGGCCACGCGGGAAGAGCAACGTAATCTGGAACGGGTCCGAGAAGCGGGGAGAGGACACAAGAGCTCTCAGTCAAGTGGGGGGCCTTATCAAACCGCATCTCCGGAGCAGAAGAACCTTGAGCAGATCTTTCCTGTGAGGCCACCTCAAGGTGTTCCACCCCAAGGACAACATGTGCAAGATCAACCATTTCCGGGAGTTCAACATCATCACGATCAAGATCTCCAAATGCAAATGAAAGTGGGAGGTCCGTTATGGAATGCGCCTTCTGTTCCCAGGGTCGAACAAGGTTTTTGGCCGATTTGGCCGATGGATATGTACATGAATCAAGGGTGGCTGAGTGGAATGCCGCCAGAAGGTATGCTGCAGGGAGCAGCGTCAAGACCACCGATGGGAGCTCCTTGCATGGGAGCCACGGAAAACACAAGACATTTTTTTCATTTGTGACCAACCTCATCAATGGTATAATCCTCAAGCCCAAGTTCGAGGAGCACCTGCAGGACAAGATCATCGACCTCAAGAAACACCGGACCTATGGGTGGTTATGGTTAGCCGGGAGGTCCACCACAAGGGCAGTATGGAAGCCCGGGTCAGACACCTGGCCCGCCAGGTGGCCATCAAGGAAATCCAGGTCCGCCCAGCGTTAGACTTTGGAAACAGACATGCAACAGCGTTAGACTTTGGAAACTGGTTGACAGTTGCCCAGCAAATGATTGGGGATGTGAGCTACACCTCGGCCCAGCTATGACTGCAGTGGAGCAGGCATACCATCACTGGTTGCAAGCGGATCCAGTCATGCGGCTCCGGATGGCACCAGTTGTGCCTGACGTGGCGCGTGGCTGGCTTGCACGGAGAACCGGGCGGTAGGCATGTTGCCTCAACCTGTCCCGAAGGACATCTATGAGGACATCGTGGCGAACCGACACATGTCGTGGGTCAGGTCATGTTCAAGCTGTACACCATATCTTCCAACAGGGCGGTCAAGTGGAAAGAACTTCTCTGCTACAAATGTTGGTGGACTGGAAAAGCCCATCAAATAATGCTGCAGACATGGTCAATTCCATCCGGAAATGGAGAAGATAGGAAGTTCGTGCCGAAGAACTTCAGTTGGTGTTGCCCGATCCTCTGGTTTTGGCCGGAGTGGTCGCAAAAATGAGTATGCATTGGCCAGGCTGGGGGGGGCTCAGACTGCGTGCCGATTGTCTTCGGTGAGACAGCATTAGGGCATAGATCTCCGGCCGGGAATACAAGAGATCAGAACGTTTTCTGAAGTCCTTCACGCTGAAGCTGGTGAAATGGCTCTCCGTCAACCGGGGAACACAACACAAAGCCCAGCGACTAAACCCAACAATGTAGTAGGGGTGAAGTCCATGAGTGGACCGGATCATCTGGAGATCCACCAAAGGGCGCTTCAAAGGGAAAACAAGAAGACGCAGCAGTTTCTTCCACCGGAAGGAGGGGGGAGAAGCCAGAGCTGCCGATTAACGCGGCTAATGTGGTCCACAAGACTGCGTGCATCCACTGGCTGACCGATATAGGGATGGCAATATGCAGACTGGTGCCGGTTTATGTTTCAATTGTTCTGGGAAAGGACATGATTGTCCAGCAGGAAAACGAAGTGAATCGCGGGGTCCGCGAAGTGGGTCTGAAGAACTTAAGGTGGCTAAAACGACCGGGGTCCGTCCAAGGTCCCGGGAAAGAAGGGATGGAACAGAAAAAGAATGTATTGCTGGTCAAGAACGTCCTGAACCTGTCGCGAAGATCAACCCGATGAAGGAGTCCATTGTCACCATCACCCCAATTCCAGACGAAGCTGCAAAAGTGGTGGGGGAAGTGAACCATCTCTTGAAGGGCTTCAGTGGGCCCACATTAAAGTCGGTGGGAACAGGTGGAGATCTTGAAGTTGATGAAAGCACGAGTCTCCTAGATGGGGGTGCCACCCATCCTCTACGACAGGGCACCAAGGACGAGATCAAGAATGCGGTACAGGTCACTGTGGAATTGGCTCACGGAGCTACGCAGCTCTATCAGAATCCAGTGAATGGAACACTTCTATCGGAAATTCCGGTGGAACCGATCGTTCCTGTTCGAGGTTTGGTGGAATTGCAATTACACCATCACTTGGTCCCGTCCAGGATGTGTGGTGAAGCATCCACGGTTGGGGAACATAGAATGCTGGTTGAGGTCAGGATGCCCGGTGGTCCGGAAGGACCACGCTCTGGCTCTGATCACTGAGAGGTCTGAGAGGACCAACCGACGTTTCACGCTGGAAGAATCGGGTAACTTTACAGGTTACCAAAATCTCCAGATTTAAAAAGGAGCCTGCTGATGAACCAGCAGGGGGGAGCCCGGTGTCTGTTCAAAAGTTTAATACAAGGTGTTGACTTCATCATTTGTATGCTGTTGCGCCCCCAAAACGCGGATTTTTTTCAAAGGGCTCTGTTTGTTCTGGGACATGTCGCCCACTTGTAATCCGTGCCGGTGATGCCGAAAACATGTTCATTTCTTGCGTTAAGCGAGGCGAACCAATTAGCCCTGTTATCAGAACTAGAGTATCTCCTCACCATAACAGGTATTTTGCCATCGCTTATCCCCAAGAAATGTGGCAGCCATTGGTCACAAGTCCAGATTGACGGTCCCACGCGGCTTAGTCCCAGCACAGCTGGCTCTATTTGTGATTTTTTCTCGCAATCGGCATGGGTCGTTGGGTCGCATAGATCCATCCATACAACGTCGTGGGTTGAGATCGTGGCAGATTTTATTTTCCAGTTTGGATACTTTCCGGGTTTCATAAATCAGTCTATGAAAGTGCTTGTCCAAAGGTTCAAGCGAGCTGCCATGCGATTGTTCCAATTCCACCAGCTGTCCATTAATGCCCTGGGATCTACACATTTGCTGAGTTTTGGATTTTGCCACGTTGCATCCCGGAACATTTCTCGTTCCTTCCGATTTCATCTTCGCTTTCTTGGTCGGGTGTGCCTCCAGATTTGCTGCAAAAAAATAATCCGCTCAATTTTGTACCACCTTTACCATGAGTTCTTTGATTGGTGATGCTTGAATTCAAATTAAATGGCCTTCGCCTACGCCGTCTTCGCCCAGTTTCTTAGCTTGGAGGTGGCTGCGGTGTTGGAGAAAAAAGTTTCAGACTTTTGCCTTTCAAAAGTTTCAGGACAAGACGATCAAGGCTCGGCGGAGGCACCTGCAAAAGAGGTTGGAAGAGAAGTTTATCGTCAGAAAAGTCAGCCTGGGACATCAACAAAATTTGGACGCCAAATTTCCAAGTGTATATATAGATCCGGGACAAGATCAACAAATGCACACTTCAAGGGCAAGATCCACGAAGGGGATTGCGCATCTTGAAGAACATCAACCGGAAGAAGGTGAACATGGTCGGGACGAAGATCTTCTGGGGGAAAACCGGGACATTGCATGCCGGTGTATGTCCATAGTGGAACGCCCTACTGGAATGACAGAGGAGTTTCCGGAAATAGCAGAGTTCAAAAAGAATGCACTGAGAACCGCCCTGGGAACGCCTGATTCAGCGCTTTTCCAAGGGTTCACCAGAAGGAACGGAAGCCGTTCTGAACCAATGGGGTCTGGAGTCACTGAGACCGTTCATGGACGAGAAGGAGCCATCCTGGACAAGAAGGGTATAACGGTGTAATAAGTCCACTGCGGGTAGTTCTAAACCTAAACAGGTAAAGTTTTGGGATGAAAATCCACCAATTTTGAAGGGTTTCAGGGTGCAAGATCATTACGGTCATGCTCCACAAGATCATGGTCCTGAAAAAGACGGACAACTCCCTAAGATCATCAACGGAACTGACAGCAATGGGACTGTCACGCCGGACCTGGACAGGTCTGGAATGAAAGGACACCGTGCTGCAGAAGATCACACAAGGTCGGGTCTCCTGGATGATGGGGATTGCGCCGTGGTTTCGATAGTAAAGGATTTTTTTCTGGAAACCAAAGCCCAAAGAAATTTTGGAGAATTTGGGGAAGAACCTGAAAAAGAAGCGCTGGCCTAGGAGAAGATCAACAGCTGCCGGTGGAAAAGTTCAACTGCGCAGGGAGAAGATCTACAGGCCCAGGGAAAAATACATGGAAACGCTGCTCCCAAAGACCTTCATTGGTGGCGCTTTGGCAGCGGCTGAGAGGGAGAAAGTTAACCTTTTGCACCTGCGAAGACAGGTTTGTAAAGTGCAAGTTTTTGGAGTTTTACCCGAAGCGGTATTCCACGCGAAAACTGGTTGAAGGGGGAACGAACACCAGCCTGGGACCATGGCACACGAGGGTCTTCGTCCTTCTGGCGGGGGAAGGACGAGTTCCCGGCGGAAACGTGGCCACCCTTGAACTTTTTGTTTTTGGTGTTGGGATTCCTGCAAGCAGGAAGGGGGAGTGCGGATGGGAAGCCAGCACAGAGTACCACCGCCGTTACCACCGCCCCCCACTAAGGTCTTTTTAAGTTTTCACAATCGCTGAGAGCCCTTCCAACTGTTGCAACGTTGGCTCAAGCCATTCAATTGGCTCAAGGGCCAATCAAACGATTGGCTCAAGCACACCGAGCCCAACTTGGAGTGAAAAGGTGTACTGGCATCTGCCTCTTGGTGGGGTTCGGTAGTGTGAAACCCGTGGTTTCATTGTTTTTTCAGGGTTTGTTTTCAATTTCTTATATCTTGTTATATACCATTTCATGCTCTTGAATTCGGACACAGAGGATCTCAGATGACCCAAGCATGGAATGATCTCCAGCCGAGGATATGATTTGCCCCTCAGCTTCACAGGTTCCTGCCTTTTGATCAAAACACTGGGTTTGAGTTTGGCTGTTGGTGCCGGGCTTTCCTTGGGCAAGGAGCCTTTTCACCGCGTCTTTTGCAAGTTTTCGTTGTTGTTTTTTTGCTGAGATCCTTTTTCGTCCAAGAGTCCGGAAAAGTGAAAAGAGTTTGTTACATTTTGTTCCTATTGTATCGACCCAGGTGCTAGATGCAATAATCAATGCACCACTAGAAGAGCTAATGAACTCAGCCAACCAGGAGGGACCCCTCATCCACATTGGTGTTTGTATTGCGTCAACCTTGCAACGTATTTGCGGTGCATTCGGCTGGCGGCGGGCAGGGATGCCCTTCCATGAGAATCTTGGTGACAATCTTTGATGCACTGGAGGTTATTGGTTGTTATATATTGGTTTGATGCCTTGAACTTTCACATATCTAGTCGTCCAGATTTTTAGATGTATTTCATAAAAGAATCTGAGCTGCATTGGGAGATAGCAATTTGCAGGTCCTGTTGCAGAGCACGTCACATTACGTCACAGCACGTCACAGCCGGCCACAGAACGTCACAGCACTATTTTCGGCACTTGGCACAAAATGCAAAAAATTGCCTGGGGCTTTGCACAATTTTGCAGATGCTCAGCAGGTTGGCCTGTGTTGGAGCTGCTGCCGGCGTGGCAACCGCCTTCGGAGCTCCTTTGGGAGGTGTGCTTTTCGCTGTGGAGGAGCCAGTTGGGGCACCTCGGGGATAGCCGGGCAGGCTGCGATCAGCTGAGTTCAGCTGTATTCACTCTGCAACATTCTAGAGCATTTGCAAAGACAGGCTTGGATCCCCTTGGATTCTCTTGGATCCATGGTGTGGCACTTCTGTCAACCAGCGAATGCAAACAAACCTGCAAGTACTGAGACTTTGCATGATGTAGTCAAGTTTCTTGAAAGCATGAACGCAGATTATACATATCTCAGAGAGCGAGAGAGATAGAGAGAGAGAGAGAGGGTGAAGATTAATATTAGAGATGCAAGAAAGAATGCTGTGCTCATGCCCCGGTTCTGTTTGCGTGTGAATTTTGATGGATTTTGATGGATTTTGCATGTTGCAGGTGGCCGTAGCTTGCCATAACTTGCCATAGTTGCGATCAGGAGCTGGGAAGCGTTCGAAGTCTGTCGCAACGAACTTTGCTATTGAGTTTTCTCGCAGCCTTCTCTGCAAGCTTCACCCTGAAGTCTTTAAATTTGACTGGAACCAACAAGCTTCTCACTTCAACTCAGCTTCCAAAATCACGATGCATGTCTCTGAATTTGGCAGTAACAAGTTTCAACACGGACGTCGAAGTCATTTGGATGTCGTTCCAATTTGATATAAGCTAGCAAAACTCAGATACAAAGCAACAATACATTGCTTCCTGGCAAAGACCAGCCGCAACCTGTCCAGAAGGTGTGCTGAACTTCCTTTTTGCATTGTTTGTGGATACAAATAAACCATGTTTGATGCAACTTTGCTATGATAGAAAGTGAACCCCAACTACATTGCAACAAATCGCAGCCAGCTCCACTGAGAACAAAGGTTAGTGGGTATGCAGAACAGGGTTTGCCAATCCAGGGAGGGAAAGAAAGAAAGAGAGAGAGAGAGGGAGTTGAGAAGTTTGAGGCTGACATTGTTCGCCTTGTCATTACCAACGAATACTGCCAGAAAGGCGTGAGCTGATGTCGGCAGTGTGATGCAGTGTGCATGTGTGTTGTGTGGTTGATGCCACGTTCGCAATGACAGCATTCTACTTGACTGTTGCAGTGGCTGCTCTTTGAGTTTGACAGCCATATCTGCGCTCAGATTATCTCAGATTAATTAAATTGTTCACAATGAAGCTGCATCCTACGCAACTGCTCCGCCACTGTTCAGGAGTGGATTTCGTGGGAGATGTTTGCGTTTTTCCTCACTGGAGTACTTGGAGGATTTGGGGGTGCTTTGTTTGTCATGCTGAACATTCGATGCACATCATGGCGAAGGGAATCTGTGAAGAAAGGACGTGTGTGGTTTTTGCCAGATGCTTGGATATGCAAATCATTGAAATGCCAAGCTATTGTGCATTGCCATTGTGATGTTGTTTGTATGGTATGCAGTTGTATCACGTGTTGGTCAGTTCAAAGTCAGGAATGCTTGGTGTCCCACAGACAGCCGGGCACTCTGAACGTCCTGGAATGTCTCATTCTTGCTTTGATGACTTCCTTGTTGAGCTTTCCGTTCTCCCGCCTCCTGCGGGCATTGAACACCGAAGCCGTTCATGCCTTGTTCGAGACATGTCCCAATGCTCGGCCACATCACTTTGGGCTTTGCGACCAAGAAGGTAATATGCCAAATACAAGCTTTCCAGCCAATGTCGGGCTGCTGGTTGCATCTGCAGTTCGCTTTATTCAGCTGCTCTACGTGTTTTAGATGTTGTTGCTTTTGGCTCCTCCCATTTTAATTTGGTTGGAGAGGAGGAGTGAGAGAGTGAGAGATTGAGACAAGACAGTGGGAGAGAGAGAGAGAGAGTGTGTGTGTGTGAGTGAGTGAGTCAGTCACTCAGTCAGTCAGTCAGTGAGAGAGACAAGCAGAGAGAGTGAGAGTGAGAGTGGGAGTGAAGGTTTTTTTCTCTCGTTTTGCATTTTGATCCCATGACGGCAAAATTTGCACCCCTGCAGAATGGACATATCTTTACATTGTCGTCAAATAGGAAAAACTTTGCCGATGCTTGCTTGAGTGGGCTCGAGTCGGGCCGACTGTAAATTCGACACCGCCATACACCTCCTATTATTTTGCAAAACCAGTGATAGACGGAATGGCTGCCGACCACACGATTTGAGGACAACCTACACCTTTGGCGCGGCCATTCCCAGTGGTCTCTTCATTCCATCTTTGCATCTTTGTGGTTTCATTACTTTTTGCAGGCTTTTCTGCAATGATAGTGTTTGGTTGTGTCCTTGGATGGCCTGCATTGTGTGTGTGCTAGTCTTTGCTATTCTAAAACAGATTAAAGTAGAAGAGTTTCGGATTTCCCTAGAGAAGTTGACTGACTTTGGTCAGCACATGTTGTTCCAATTTGTATCCATTTGTTCAGGAAGCCTTGAGAGGTTAGAAATTCGCAAAATCCTCTTTGTGAGATTATAGGATGCCCCTTGGCCCTTGGGAAGCACAACTAATCAATATATGAATCACTTTGAGGTATATTGGCGCCACCCTGGGTCGCTTCATTGGCAATCTTATCAGCACTGTGGCCAGCTCTGTGTCCCAATTCCCGGTGCACATCGAACCAGCTGTGTTCGCAATGGTAGGCCACAGAGTTGGGACCTTGTGGGAAGGGAGGGCTATCAAAGAATGACAAGGATCATGAAGGAGTTTCAAGAATAAGAAAATATACATCGGCGGAAGTTTGCATAATTTTTGAAATATTTTGAGCATCCTGAAAACCTTAAGGGTCCACCTTTGTTGGCGCGAGGCTCAAAGTTTCTTGAGACATGGCCCAGGTGCAATCAGCATGCTTTCGGGCTTCTGTCGCATGACAGTTTCCCTGGTGGTAATCATGTTCGAGCTCACAGGCCTTATCAAGATTGTTCGGAATGGTGTGACGGTGCCCCTCGAATAGAAAAGGTTTTCAAGGGAAGCTGTGAGGTATTTGGTTTGCCTTCAGATCCTTCAGATGTTCAACCCCATACAATCCCAAGCTTTGTGACACGTTTAGCAAAACGGATTTGGGGCAGTCAACAAAGGGGACACTACTGTGGTACAAATAGATACCAATAGCGAGTGGGTGATAGAGGTCATGGCTTTAGCAGAGCAGGGGCATCACGGATCCTCGCGGTACAAAACGGCAATGAACAGCACGTGTAATATTGCCCAATTGAAATTACAGGATGCCAATGGATGCCATGTATTGATACATAATATAATGTATAATATATAATTAATATATATTTCTTTATAATATATAATATTTAATACATAATATATAATATAATATAATTTAATTTAATGTATAATATACTCTGAGAGAATTTAATATAATATTATATAGAATATATTATTTATATTAAAATGTATAATTTAATATGATATTTAATATTTATATATATATATATATATTATAATATTTAATATATAATATTTAATATATAATATTTAATATATAATATTTAATATTTAAAATATAATATTTAATATATGATATATAATATAACCTAAAACAATATAATCTAGAATAATGTAAAATAATATAATATATTCTAAAATAATATATAATATATTATATAACCTAAAATAATATAATCTAGAATAATATAAAATACTATAATACAATGAAATGATAAAATATAATATATAATAATTAATATTTAATTTCATTTCATACAATGTATAGTATAATCTCAAAGAATATAATATAAAATAATATAATATAATATCATTTAATATAACATAATATTTTATAATATATTTGATATAATATAATATAATGTTTAATATAATATATAATTTAGGATAATATTATATGATATAATATAATATAATGTTTAATATAATGTATAATTTAGGATAATATAATATAATATAATGTAATATAATATAATTTAATATATATATATATACATACGTATATATATGTGTGTGTGTATGTATTATTGTATTTTGTACCAAAACTTGGGGCTGATCAGCTGGCAATTTCTGCATAAGTGTCCAGGACTATCATTGGCCCTTGGAACCCGCTGAAATCATGGAAGAAGTCTGAGTGCGGAGTACAGAACTTGTTGGCATGTTGTGGTCTTTGCTTGCTTACAGGACAAATCGTTATGAATCATAGATGATCAAAGATGCGGTTTCACGTGTTTGTACTCGGATGTTTCCTGTGCCTGTGTGTGTGTCTCTGCAACATCCTACAGGAGAACTGAACTACATCGTGCCCTTTATGTGTGCCGTGCTCACAGCAAAGTTGGTTGGTGACATGATGACGCCATCGATCTACGACGCACATGCCAAGCTCAATGGCGCCTTCGCTCACACACGAGCATTCGGTCCGGAGAGACTCATGGTTGTTGCCAGTGGTGCATTTTGGTTTGTTGCAAATTTTGTAGGCAGTTAATCAGGTGGTACTGTTTGGAATTACATGTATATATATAATTATAATTATATATAATTATATATATATACATATATATATATATATCATATATAAATATGTCTATCATATACATATCATATATATATATATCATACGATATGCACCGCTTTGCAGACTCGACTTTACTGTCTATGATGTGGTGGTTCCATGGTTGCGATTTCCTCCGACTCAGAGGAAATAATTGCGAGGAACTCAAACATTTTCTAAATTCAGTCGATTTCCAATCCGAAAAACATAGAGTTTTCACAGCATTTTATTTGGGAGCATGTACGGAGAGTTTTCACAACATGAATTGAGCGATTAATATATAGCAACAACGGGGACATACTCGGGAATTTGCTCCGTCGATGACTAGCCCAAGGCTCATAGTCATAGTCGTAGATGTGCAATGACGTTTAGATATCATAGCAGTCATAGCATCTAAGCGTCCAGCTTCCGGCAACAAGAGTTCGATCACCATGATGGATGAAATTGACGAAACCTTATCAGAAAGAGAGAGATAGAGGGATAGTGCCAAGACATTTCATGGGCGTGGTTCCAGTCGTAAACATTACCCTGAAAACATCGTGCTTTTTCCAATACTCATGAAGAGTGGCCTTCCAGACATCACATCACCCACTTGCGAACGCCACTGTGCAGCTAAAAATGCAATGCATGGATCCTTTCATTCAAGATGTCATGATCCACTCTATAAGCTTTACGCGGCTTCGTTGGAAAGTAACGTAACTTGGTTGGCTGCTGATTTTCTCTATGTATATGTGTACTTATTTTATTTGGATTCATATTGTACCATATATGGGAGACGGTTTTATTGTCTTTCTGGTACCTGAATGCCTAGCAGGTTACATGCCTGTGGAGGATCAGGAAAACCTTCGACCCTTGGCCATGGACAGCACGTGCAAACAGATACACGCAATTTTCAAGCATTGCAATCATTGTTTTTGTTTCACCCACTTGGCATTCAGGGCTGAAAAGGCTTTGAAGTCACCTGTCATTTCCACAGGCATGGAGCGAATTCCCTTCGTTTAATGCAAGACACACAGTCCTGATACACACCAAGAAATCAAACAAGAGCCATTCCTTTGTGAAACATAGACAGGTGGACAAGGCAGCCACCATACAACCAAAACAAAAAATATGGCCATGAATTCAAACCCTGGCACTGTACAGTACGCTGGTCAAAATCAAAATAGCTGGTAAATGGACATTCATCCCCCAAATATGGCAATATAGGTTTTGACATGTTTTGACCCCTACCCTTATACTGCATATGTAAGCATGTATAAGCTCTAGTGCCCGCTTGCACTGTTACGCTGTAGAAAAAGAGGTGGGACGTGTAGATAACAAGCCCCACCGGCCATGTGCCGCATGACTGCCCGAAAATGCGTGAGAGACACAAAATGTGACGAAGGTATCAATTGGCATCGGAGCAGTCACCACTCAGGATTTGATACTGTCTTGGCAGACATCAGCAAGCCTTGTACCTTCCTCAGCTTCTTGTGGCAGCTGGCTGTCCGTGAGTGCCAAGAGTGATTGGAAAGATATGGGTTTGAATTGATGACCAGTGAGCTGAGATTTGCTGGAATGTTGACGAATTAGATAAATTAGTGATCGATCTAAAGGTCCTTGTAAGGAGTTTTAATTGCGAAAGCCGTGCATGTTATGTTGGAAACCCTCGCGAAAGTTTTTTTTCCAGTTCGCGAAAGTAAAATTTTATGTCGCGAAAGTTTCGCGAAAGTTGGGTATTATAATCATTATATGTAAAGGGCTGCCACCCATTGCCGCCCGGGGTCCGGCAGGAGAAGGGCACCAGAGAATGCGAGTAGCAGTAGCCAAGTTTCCAAAAGTGAGGCTTTGCGAGAGCCAAACACCAAGGCCCCTGGTCTTCGCTTTTCCTTCAGTGCACCCCCTGCTGATGGCCGGGGTCTGTGAATAGGGATATTTTCGCGAAAGTTCCGCGAAAGTTATGCGAATGAGCGGGCGAAAGTCAAAGTGCATGTTGAAGGGGGTGGGCCAGTAAACTTTGCAAAAAAGAATCTGTCCTGAGAAGGGATTCCGTGATGCTAGCTGCATGTTTAAAAGGCTACCAAGAAGTGATCCGTGATTCTCTGGCGTAATTTGGCAGGTGGTGAACGAATCTTCATAAGAGGTGTTGTTGGCCAACATGGGCCGCGCGAAAGATAAATATGGAGTTCGCGAAAGTTTCGCGAAAGTAAAATTTTTGTTCGCGAAGAATGGCCGTTCCGGGATAAAGGAAATTTGATCAACAACCTATAAATGTTAACAACTAGTCCGTCGAGCATCTTTGGCGTTTGCGGCTGTTTATTTGTTCAACAGATTGACCCTTCAGTCCATCTCTCCTTTATTGCACGCTATTCTGGACATCTAATGACATTTTATTATAGTATATTATATATACTACATCAATCTTTATTGCATTATGTATTTAAGTATATATATATATAGATATTTGTTGTATATATATATATATTTACATTCAGTGTGTATATATATATATTATAAGCATGATTTTATTTATACACATTATTTTAATTATAAGCATTTTTGTATATACATATATCACGAAAGCTAGCTTCTGCTAGCTGAAGTCCCTCTTGTTTTAGCAAGGTATTGGGGTGGGCTGGAATCTCCAATCGCGAGAAACTTCTCAGTCAACTCCCCCCCTCCTCCCTCTTGCACAAGCAGTTTGGCCGCTGACCGTCAGCAACATCGGTAGCATTGGCATCCTCTGTATGATTTGCATCGTCAATAGCGCATGCCTCATTTCTCTTCAATTCATTTTTGCAGCGGCGCTCATGATTGGCATGTTCATTCATGGGTAGCCTTTATCTTGGCCTAGTTTCAGTTTCATGTTGCGCACGCACACCTACCTCTCATCCTTACATTCAGTTTTGCACTGCGTTACTTCTTCCCGCGCTTCCAAAGGCCCACTCCGATGCCGAAGGTAATCTTCCCCAATCACTGGTCATAATGTTGGCTTTCCTGAATTTCCTCATCCTTGTCCCCTCCAACATACACCGCTTCAATACATAGGTCTGGATGTTCACCTTACCAACATGCCCATACATGCCCCAGCTTCAGACCCGCTCGTCCACGTTGACGAAAAAGCTGCGCAGCTGCGCTGTGCCCTTTGTGTTTTCATGCCAAGCTCCCTGCCAAGCTCGCTTTCGTCCCTTACCCCTGGGCCTCATGTATATATACACATTATTAATCACATATATATATATATACATCATATTATATATATGTGTGTGTATATATATCTGTATACCTGTGCAACTATCATTGTATAATTTATAGACGCGTTCGTTGGACGATGCCATATAGAAACGCACCGATATTCTATGTTCAACTGAGATAACCAGCTGCTTTGCGTTTCTTGATCGAACATATTGCACAGCCGGGGGACATACACCTATGCAAAGAAATGCTGCATAACATACGGAAGCGCCCGCTCCAATGGCCAGATACATGGACGGGAAATGATGGGTACACAGTGACCTGGTGTTGTCAAAAATACATCCCAAGCCATACTAAGCCATCCTACATGCTCTACAATGCTGTACAAATCTGATCAAAATCTGTACAATGCTACTGCAGGTGCTTCTGGTGGCTCGGTGAAATCTGGCATTGAAGCATTGGGTGTTCCAGCAACCCATGTTGCGGTGCTCACACCCCAGGCCGCCTGTGCTACATGATATCCGCAGGTGTCACAGTTCTACGACCAAACAGACTGCATCTATTCCTGCCGGATGTTTTGTGTTTTTCATGTGTAGTAGATTCATGTAGTGTCTTTTGCAGAGCAACATGCTTTGCAAGTGTGTGGGCGCGCTCCTTCAAGAGTCATGACGAGAACGCTTCTATACAAAATTATCTTCCGTCCAAACCCTTGCAAGATTTGATGTTGTGTCCAGTTTGAGCCGCTTAGGCACCTTTGCTCACAGCATACTGACGCTTGGCAAATGCAAAGTTATGCCACACTTGCAAACATTGAGACAGCCTCTAGAAAGGCTCTGGGTCTTTGGGCTGTAGAAGCTTGCAAAGTACTTTGCAGCAGGTCCATGCAGGTCCTGCATGTTTTGATGTCTTGTCTGAGGTGCATTTCAGCAGAAGCCTGAGTTGCAGTACTGTGTCTGCGCAGAAAGTAGAAGATGTGGAAGGTGCCCAGATGGGCCAGATGCATTCAGATGCACCAGAATCTCTGAGAGTTTCTCGTGTTTGGTCGTTCCATGTCGTTCCTCATACTTCCTCAAGCCTGAGGGAACTTAATTTGTGCTGTCTTCCATGGAGCAACACCCAATGCTGTGCTGTGCAATGAGACTGTCCCAAAACAATTGAAAACCTCCGTGGGCAGGATGAGCGTGATCTCGCGAAAGGAGTTTGAAGATTTTCTGACGCAGAAAGTGTTTCCACTGTCAAGGCCACGACAGGAGGACTGTGGGTTGAATTATGGTGTGGTATGTTGTGGCAGTGCTGGACAACCCGGATCACCTTTGAAGTTGCTAAAGTGCGGCTGCCCGAGTCAGCTCAACATTTTACAACACGGAGATATGTACCAGATTCTGTCTGTTTGGCGGTGAGTGATGGACCGAGCTTTACATGTGCTAGCGCCGCCTCTCAATTTGTTCTGGCTCTTCTGGCGATTTTTTCATTGATAACGAGCGCTTGCTGTGTTGCCGGGCTGAAGCAACGCAAGGATATGCTATGATACTGCTTGATATGCTTTGATGATCTCTAATGGAACATGTTTGAGCAGACGATGAACAGGATTGATTTCAAGTCTGCCTTCTCCTGTCTATGTCCTGTTCTTTCGGTACCTGTAAGGACTACCAGGTACACCGGGACTTTGACGAAATGGATGATGGCCCGCGCAAGTTTGGAATGATGAGGTGCCCATCCTTCTCGAGTCTACTGGAGTATACAGGATCACCAACTATACCATGACAAATTGTCAGGTCTACTTCGAGTATCCAGTTGCAACCGATACTAGTGGGGAACAAGAATAACTTGTATGCTGACACCGCAAAATACAGGAAAACAAACACTGTCAGTCACTACTCACATACTGCACACAAGAGATATAAATTATATAAATGTGTATTCTTTCTCTTCATGTCTATTTGTATAGGAAATATATAATCAAATTATCTTTTTAGGGTTATTTAGGTATAATATTTACACATGCTACACATACATATGCCTATGTACTGTATTTACCAAAAATTACATAAACCCGTTTCACTCAATACATTCAAATGCATACAAAATCATCAGAAGTGCCTCTACATTCACATGGGCACATATATATATACATATATATATATATTATTATATTATATCTATATATAGCTAGAGAGATAGACAGTTACATTTACATATGATGTCTCTCTGGTTTGATTTTCTCCTTGTTCCCCCCATATTTTCATGGGCCCTATTCTCAAGCATTGCAAATACATAGACTGTGCGAGATATGGCATATGTACACACGCCGTCATTCACGCTTGCAGACCACAAGGCTGGATGACCGGACTGACCAGACCCGACTGACGACTGACCCACCGACAGACGAAGGATGAATGTAGTGGCAGCATGGTGCAACAATGAACCAGCAAGCAAAAGCAACAACATGTAAGATGTAAGCGTTCGTGGATATGCGGATGGATTCTCTGGACAGTTATGCACACCCATGCGCAGCAAAACCATCACACGACGCATGTGTTCCTAGGCAATACTGCATGTTCTGCTATTTGGTTTTGAACTTATATGTTCACATAGCTGCTCACATGCCACATGGTGTGGAGGTGTATCCGTATTGTCAGTATACCGCATACAATCGGGTTCTTTATGATCTTTTTTCTGTTCATGCATGTGTGTGTGAACCGTCTGAAGAGATGTAAAACTTCTAACTTGGCAATTTTTCAATTTATTAAGCTTTTGTGTGCGTGTTATCAGATTTTGCAGGGGAGTGGAGCAGGCCTGCAGAGCTCCACTTAACAAAGCTCTCTGCAGTGCCAGGAGGATATCACTGGAGACGTCCAATGACGTGCCTGCACAGTTGTGATCAGTGATCACCTCTTGTTCAGGGTTTGCTTCTATCCAAAGCCCATTATTTTGCAATCAGCGCGTGTGCATGGCCAGGGGGCTAAGCCGAGAACCCTCACTGGACATTTTTTTCATTTCTCTTTGTTCCATCTTTGTTCCATCTCTGTTTGAATCGGGTGAGTTGTTGGCGCAACTCAAAACGATGATGCAACTACACTGGCTATGGCGATGATTGCTCCATAATTTTCTCTCGGGTCTCTTCACCGACCCATTCCTGTCAGGTGTAACTGGATTGCTTTTGCACGTAAGAAGCATTCCACAACAGAATTCGCAATTACAGTTCTGAGCATGCGTGTTACTCACGACGGTTCGACAAGATGCTGTGAGCCCTTCGGGGAATATACCTCTCTAGGTAGGATGTTCGACGATGTTCGATCCTCCGACTTTTTGTCTGAATTTACACTTTTAATGTAATAATTCGACTACGTAAAGTGAAACAGATGGCCTTTTTTCATCTTTTCACCTGTCGGTCGAGTGAGTGTTGAGCAGCTGGCCGCAGTGTTGGGCTTCGCTTCTTTGCTGGGACCTTGTGCATTTGTAGCCGCCAGCTGCGACAACTTCCTTTTTCAACCTTGCTCAAGAGAGTGATCAGCCTATACCAGCATGTGCAACATGAAGGAATTTCCAGGCAGGTTCACGACTTTAGGTGTGGTCTTCTTTCTCTTCTTGGTTTCTGGTGAGGTTTAGTTGTGCATTAATTCGAGGGTTGAACACGTAAGCCGTCCAGAGGGTTGAGACTTGAAATTGGAGGGCCTTTGAGCCTGCACTGGTTGATGGATGCATCGTTCTGTTTGAAGTGTTAAGTCAATTTTGAACCTGGCCATGTTTCCATTCTCCTGGCCCTATCGACCATGGATGAGCTCACATCCTGACCAAATGACATCAGCCATGTGGCAAATCCAAGTCTTCCAGCTCCTTGCATGTGTGGACATTTCAGTGGAGGTGATCTTCAGATGCAACAACAGGCGCGGTCCCAAGCTCAGATTTCGTTCTTACAACAACAGAATGCACTCCTTAATCAACAGCTTGCCACTCAAGCTGCATCCTACATTAACCAACTTCAACAGTCCCTGCACCACTCGACTCCCAACGTTCCTGCATCACCACCTGTTCCACGGGCTCCTCCACCATCTGAGCCTCCACAACCAAAGGCTCCACCCGAAGGGACAAGTTCCACACTTCCTTCGTTCAATCCAGATGCGATGGTCCAAGAGCTTTGAGTCAATTTCAAGGAAGAAATGATGAGCACCCTTCGCCAGTTTCAAGACTCCAATCCACCTTCAGCCCTAAGCCTATACCTGTTCCACCCACTCATACCATTCCACCACAACCTCTGGTCACGCAACCTTTGGCTCCACAACCTTCCAAATCCCATCGAACACCGGTTCCTCAACGACGGTCATGAACACCACGATCAACGCGTGAAGAACCCCGGGGTTCCACCGACCGTCGTCCGGACAAACGGTCCATTTCTCATCGTCGCAGTCCACCTCGACGAAGAGCCAAATCCATTCAATCAAGATCCAAACCAAGTCCCTGCAAGTCTTCACGTTCACCACAACCTCCTTCACTACGACCACGACCACGCACAAGGACACCTATACGCCACCTCGGAATGACAACTCACTACGGCTGGAACTACGGCCCATAGGATCAATATGTCCAATCCGGCCGCTATGACCAATGGGACAATTACGTTCACATTCCCACCAAGCCCGTCTCCATACGGCACAAGGCACAACCCACCTCCAAGCCAATTGCAGCCTACTCTACTGACAAACAATACTACTCCCAACACCAATACTACTCCCACGGCACGAAGGAGAATCCACGCCAATACTCCAAACCTGGCCATCACAAGCCAGGCAAGCCAAAACCAAAAGACCACCCGCCTCAGCGCTCCAATCGCGATGAACAACTTCAAGATGGCGAAGTCTACCTCGAACACTTCGAGGCCTCTCATGATGAATGGATCTCACAGGTCCAGTGGCAGGCACTGACACACAAATCTCGTGTTAAAGCTGCCTGTGAACCTCCTGAACACGAGCGTCCCCAACCGTTGCGAACGGTCAACAAAAGCTTTGATGGATTCGGCCACCAAGGCTCTGGGCAATCTGGCACCTGACATCCCCTCCCACAAGATCAAACTTGTGGTCCATGTCCTTGCCGGGGCAAGTCTTCTCGACTCCGTCGACCTTGGGGATGCACGAAGGCTACCACTTCCAGTTAGCAAGAAAAATGCTTTACTGGCCCCCATGCCAGAGTTACAGAAGTTCCG